TACATATCATATTCATGGAAAGTAAATATGTTTACCCAATTCCGAAAAATAACAATTATTAGAAAATCGATTAAAAGCTAAATTGAAACATGTATATGACTACAAAATAGAGAAAATAAACAAACAACATGATAAAGCGATAAAATAAAGTGCAACCCAAAGTAAAGTCAACAATATTGTTTAAGAGTCGAGGCGTCACCCGCAAGGCTATTTGAAATTATTGGTTGTAAAAAAAATAGAAATACATATTTTGTTTTAATTTGTTGCTGGGCGCCAAATATCTGATGATTTTATCGATCCTTTTGTATAATTTTGGCGTTGCCCAAGCGCTGCCTTAAAAGCTGTGGTCCTATTTCAAAAAGGTACATTATTTGCACATATTTTTTTTTATAGCAACAAAAACTTTAGAATCTTTTTAGCACAAAAATTTACATACTGACAAAGCGAACGCAGGTTTCGTGTCGTTCGCATATTTGTATGACGTATTTCGAACACAAAGCCAAACGATAACAGCTGATTCTTGTGTAAAATCAAGGCGAATTTATAGAAAGTGAAGTTGTCACATCATATGATTGCTTGTGCTTCCCTCCATTTCAACAAATTACAGAAACAAAATACATGAGAATAAGGTTTTGACGTTTCGAACGTTCGTTTACAAAAACAAAGCACATTGAACAGTTTAGTTTTTGACTTTTCGAAACTGCGATTACACAAACAAAATACATTGGCTTTTTGTTTTTGTATTCTTACTACTACCGTGTGTAAATTTGCTTTATGTGTTATGTTATTGCAACGCAAGATTACGGCAATCGTTGACGTTACCGAACCAATTTCGTCATAAATACAATAGGCGATACTTGGTATTTATGGGAAAAAAAGAAAATATTTCTCATACTTAAGAAAATACAAATTTAAAATTTTTTTTGGCACTTATGTACCACAGTCACAGATCTTTTTTTCTTGCTAAAAAAATGCAAAAATCAGCTAACAACTAGCTACTGTGCAGGATGCAAGGTGTGGGCTGTTTTGTTCAAATCAGGGCCCAGGTGGCCGAAGACCACAACGCAAAGTTACAGCGGTGCCGTTGATACCTAAATATCATTTTTTTAAGCGATAATTCTTTCTTTTAGATATATTATAATGCTAACTATCCGCTGCATTCAAGTTTTCAACCCGGAAAATTGTATTATTAAATTTATTATATGAGGCGGTTAGCGAATTTTCCTCAATAACGCATGTTTGTTTTAATTTTTCAGTAAGCGATGATATAAATCAATCCCAAAATTTTTATTTTCAAATCTTCGTCCCCAATAACCCACTGTACAGTTTTTCTACGCTTCGAGTTTTTAAGCGCGATTTTTCCCCCAAAAAGAATTATTCATTATAGCAGACAAAGAAAATTTGCGAAAATCGGTTGACATATTAAATTTTAAAAAATACTATCTTTTCCCTTGGAATTTTGATAATTTTAGTCATTTTTGACCATTTTTACTTATGGCTTTCGTAATTCATTGCACCAAAGGTTGGCGTTGCGAGCTAGAAAATTTTGTTAAAAAAATAATTTACAACACATTTGATTGATATTAAGCTATGCAAAATGTTTTTTTGTAATTTTTATTAATTTAAAAAAATCACCATGCAAGGTTTTAGGGTTTCATATTCAAAATGTTACGCTGTTTCATCGATGAAATTATGGAAATTTATTTCAAAAATTTCGGCAACCCGCAAAACTTTGTTTATAAAACATATGATTCCACTAATGTCCTAACCTTCTATTCTATAAACCTTGATTGAAACGTACATTCTCTATTACGAATGGTATGCAAAGCAACGAAGAGGCATATCAAATTCAAACGAAAGCTCTTTTGGTACCGTTGCTTTAAATTTAAAGTGGAAAAGTCATCTAAGAAAAGGTAAAATTAACTAATTCAATCAGTGATTTACATAACATATTGCAACTATTTCAAGGTTGGAACAGGAGGCTATAGTAGACTTGGCAAGAGGCGCTCCTGCATTTGGGGTTGGTAGTGTGCGAGTATCTCTCGATGCCAAATGGACCTTAGCAGAGAAGTATAGTTGAATAAAAAAAGGTGAGCATGGACTGGAATTACCGTTTAAAATATGTACTTATATCCTACAATACATATGTGAAAAACTGTTAGGCGAAATATATAAACAGTTCTCTACATAGATTTGGGCTGATCTTAAAAGTCGGACAAAACGAAGTTCAGCGAAGTTTGAGCGCCTTGGGTGATGGGCGGTTCCACTACTTAGCATTGACTGAAATGGAAAAGGTTTTAATGCTAAAAGGCAACTATATCTAAAATACAATACCAATAACAACAACCAAACAACAATGACAACATTGTCACCACTACAACAACGCCAATATTGAGCCAATCAACATCAACAATAATGGGACCAAATCCCTCAATAACAGAAACACCGATAGTGCGCAGCACTCACATTAAAAAGTTTATACTACAGAATCGTAGAAAACGCAGTTCCAACATGCAATTAGCAAATCAGCAGAAGACCAGGCCGAAGCAAGCGAGCTGAGCCCTCGAAAAAAATTGAATGGAGCTGCAGTAATACCGGCTGAGGCAGCAAAATTGGTTGCGGCAAGTTTGCTTGAAATCACTGTAATTTCATCAAGACAGGCTGCTGTACTTGACAACTTTTTGAAATTTTTAAAAACAAATACAACTTAAAATAAGTCATAAAATTTATTTACTTTTATTAATTTTTTAATCATTTTGATTTTGAATATACATACAGTATTTCAATCAATTGTTTGCAAAATAAAAAAAAAAACAAACAAATTCATTTTTCTATTTGATTTTTATTAATAAAAACAATTTTCTTTAACTTCTTTTTTTTAAATAATATTAGTCGCAGTAATCTTTACATAAATAATGCACACAAATTCCAGAATTCAAGACACAAAAGGCCGAATTGAGCGCTTGGCCATAGGGGAGCAGCTCATAGTAGATGATTCCTTGGCAATCCCACCAAACACACAGCAAAACCTCGTGCATTTTTGACATCAAAATTATCCGGAACGAAACCAAGCAAAGCACTTTTGTGCGGCACGTTCGCTTACAGTATCAAGCCCATAAACTAAACTAATTTTTTCAGCCTCTTTTGCTGCATTTTTGCCTTGATCCAAGAAAAATTGTAAAATATAGCGAATTTTCTCTCTGCTGGTGTCCATCTTTGACGAGCGCTCACCACGTACTGAGTCAATCAATCGAAAAACTGTCAAAGACAAACTTTTAGCGCGAATAAATATGTTTTCAGCGACGTATAGTATGACATGATGCGTTGCGTATTATGGACAATAACGCCATTTCTTTGTTAAAAACCGAACGAACTTTTTACTTGACCCAATATGATGGTCACTTGCATCTAAAACAGCTCGTAGATGACGAGGCATGGACTGAATAAGGTTGTTTAAGTCGTAATTCTCAGGTATTTTGTTCCACTCTTCCTGAATGACCTCAATAAGAGCGTTTTTATAAGTGCGTTTTTAGTGCAATTTTTAATAGTCCCGTCCTGCACAGCAATGATTTATGTTTGGCATTGTTGTCCTGGTATAGTTCGTACCTTAATTTATTTGGGTTTTCATGGTCGAGAAATCCAAATCTTAGCGCACTCCTTGACAACTCGTTCTTTAGAATGTCCAAGTAAAACTCCTTCGTCATCACGTCATTGAAAATTCGGAGCTCCCCAACACCGAAATGCAACCCCAAACCATTACAGGAATCTCCCCAAATTTTACTGCTGGAATTATATTTTTCTTTTGCAAGGCTGTGTTGGGGTTTCTCCTAACTTTACTGGGTCCACTATGATGGTATAACATTATTGTTGTCTCGTCGCAAAAAATAACGTCATCCCAGTATTTAGCAGTCTTGTAAACATTGGTAATAGAAAACTTGAGCCGCTTCTCGATATTTACTACCGACAACATTGGTTTCTTCCTAGCTTTTTGCGAGGAGTACTTGTGTATTTTCAAAACTTTTCGGATTGTCTCGTGACTTAATGTTTTATGGCAATCATTTTTAATATCCAACGAAAATTTTCTCAGAGCGGTTTGAGTATTATCACTGATCTGCTTTCAAATGTTTGAATTATCGCGTCTAGAAAGTTTCGGTGGTCTACCTCCCGAGTGCTTTTACTCCAACGTCTTTTCTTTTTTTGTGCGTTTAATGATATTATAAATCGTCCTGAGCTTGATGAAAACCATTTCCGCTAATTCCTTAGCCGAAATTTTCATTAGTTCTCTTGCCAGGCATTGTTAAAAGCTCGAAATCAACAAGATCTGAACTGTCCAAAGCATTAATCGATTTGAATGTAATAGAGCAACGCATAGCCATGACGCATGCGTTCACCCGTTTTCAACTTTGTGGTACCGTTAAGTTATCTAAGTTTTACTTTGAATTGTATTGGCATTTTGAAAAGAATTAATTGACAACGCAATATTTGGCGAATTTTCAATAAATTTGTAATTTTTTTACCGTTCGATTTTAATGTTTGTTATTTCCGCAAGTGATATTTGTAAAGAATACTTAGATTAACAATACCAATTAATAAAAAAGGCAAAATGTTTCATTTACAAAATAAAATTTTAAAAGAGATTTTTGTGATTTTTTCATTATACAAATATTAATGACATATTTTAGAAAATTTGCAAACACCGTATTGTAAACAATCAAATGCAAATGTCAACAAAAAAGAATATAGGAGAGGAATGAAGCAAATGAACACTGCCAGATTTTTAAAATACAACTTTAAAATTAAATAAATAAGAAGAACAACGTTTTTTTAATTTAATTTTTATATAAATTTCATATGCCAACATGGTAGTTGACAATTGATTCCTTCTCGCATTTCTTACGTAGGCAACGGAGACCATCCTCTCCTCGACCTTTCGTTCGCAATACATACTAAAGTTTTTAAATAAAAAAAAAATAATAATAATAAATTTAAAATTAACTTACCGATTTCAAGATATTTCTGATGCAGCGGATCATAGTTTTCCCAAGTGGTGCTGCGGAATCGATTTCGTTCTTTTGAGGCTGGCAGCACGGAATCCTGTCGGTGGTGCTCATTGGGATTGCTGCAAGAAAAAAAAAAACAATAATGCTTTTATTATAAAAATGAAATGCTTTTTGAATTCTGTACACTACTGACGGTATCCTGTTGTGCTTTGGTATATCACAATATAAAATAACCATCGTATGCATGCTCATACTCGTACACCACCCTACAATCTATCTATCCAATATTCTTCAAGTCATAGATTTTTTCTTCATGCCATTTGATGTACTTATGCATATATGCATGAACATATGTACGTGTGTACATACAACGAGGTGTGAAAATTAAGTAATGAAACTGTTTCCATAAAAACCGTAAATTTCATAATTATTCTAGAACAGTGCCATCCCCTAGAAGTAGTCCCCTTGGGCAGCTATACAACGATTCCAACGCGTTATACTTTTCACATTTTGATGAGCCGAAACAGTAAAAAAAATTTGCCGTCATAACAAATAGAATAGTCACCCCGCGTCATCTCCAATTTTTCATCCCCAAAAGTTCTAGTACCATCTCCAATTTTTTAATATTGAGCTTAATCTCTGTCTCCTTCAAGAGCCATTGAGCTTTATAAATGCACTTATGGATATCTCCTACTCCTAACCCCATACTAAGACACAATTTGTGTATATTAAAGTCTCAATCACATTGTAGCGTAAGAAAGTCCAAGCACTCGAGAATACCGACTCATTCGGGTCTTCGGCTAAACTTTCACTCACGAAGTTTTTGACACTAAACGTGTTTGGTAAGACTTGTTTGTCTTTGCCAAGATATTTATTACTACTTACGGGGTTATCTTCTAAGCAGAAACTGTAAAATTGCAGACACGTATGGATGTATTATAATAATTTCTCAGCGCCATTTCTTAGGCGGCAGTGGTACGGAAAGAAATTGCTTTCACCAGAAGAGTCTAAAGCAGATGACAGCATTAAACTACTTGCAACGTGACCAAATAAGTCTGACCAATGATCGAAGTCAACAGAACTAGGTCATAACTGTTTAGTCACGTTGTACCTGATCTTGTTCCACCACCTTCAGTCAGCTTTTCTTATTGAACTCTTCTCAACAGGGCTTTCGAGGGAGTTGATGGCAACGCTTACATTATTAGGATAGTAAACGATCGTTGAACCCTCTCTAATTTGGTAAAAATAACCATTTTGACGTCCAGTTCGCTGTCATTGCACCAGTTCCTAACAATGAAAATACCATTTTGGAGTAGATCACTTAAAGTTAACATATGTTTACCCTTCGCTGTTAGGTCAAAGTCGTTAGCGTATGCCACCTCATCACAGCCTGAGTTGTGTAATTTCCTAATCAGCGTGTTTTCTGTTAGACATCGCAGCAGCGGCGATAACACTCCTTCTTCAGGGATGCCTCTTGTAGTGTGTTTGGTAATGCTGGCACTTCTCATCTCTGCGAACATGATCCTGTTTTACATGATTCACTATGGCCTGTTGAAGACCCAATTTTTGAAGAGCCTCTATTACAAATACAGGAAGAATATTGTTGGACGCCCATTCAGGTGAGTCCTTTTCTGATTCCTCCGACTAAATAGTACAGGAATGTGTCGACAGACTTACTCTTAGAGTACGCATGTTGCTTCGCTGAGAGGCTGTATGGTGGTAGATTCAGGAGTATTGAGTAGTCAAACAGCTTTTCAAAGATTTTTAAATGGCAGGAGGTGAGACCTATGGTCCGAAAGTCTTTACTGATATGGTTGGTTCTTCCTTCTTCAATTTCTTCGAAATATTGCATATTCTTCACGCCTCCTAAATTTTGTATAGAAGTGGGGATAAAATGTCCTCCGCCCTCTGTAGTTCGGCAGTAAAGATACCATCTAGTCCTGGCGATTTAAAGGGCAGGCATGACTTTATTGCCCATTCCACCCTTTTGCGATGCTGCTAACATCAGAGATGCGCTCACCTTCCATACGTGAGATTTGGTCGTAATCAATGGAGCACCCTGGAAAATAATTGCTCGTGAGAATATCCAGCATTTCTTCACAAGTACATTCTCCATCCGGATACTGGATATAGTTTGGGATGAACTTCTTTTTTGTCTGTTACCTTCTGCACTCCGTCCATGCCACGGCAAAAGGCCTTCCAAGATTTCCCGTTTGCCTTCCTTATAGAGGTTATGAAAGAATACAGGTATGCTTTATACGAATGTCACGAGCCCGTTCTTTTTCCTTCATTAAAGAGTTTAAGACTTATTTTTCTTAGCTCAGAGATTTCTCTTTTCCACCACTTGGGCTTCTTTTTCCAGATCGGATATATAGAGGCCTCAAAGGCGTCATTATAGACATACGACTAAGTCCAGCTCACCGAGCGAAACAGACCTTGCGCCAGATGCCACAGCTTCATCGGCTCTTTATGATAAGCGGATCTTATCGTGAGAAGCGTCGTTTATCAAGGATGCTTTCAGGTCTCTCATAAAGGTCATCCAGCTGGTTCTTTTCCTATTTCTGTACACAGCAATTGATGTTGTTCTCATGGTGAGATGATCAAATGGTCAGAGAAGGAGGTTTCATTGATTACATACCAATTTCTGATGTGGTCAGAAAAAGAGTTTGAAGCTAAAGAGAAGCTAAAGACTTAAAAATACTCAATATAACTGTGCGAGGTTCAACTGCATTTAGATATTTATTAATAATATTTTGATTCGACAAAAATGACAAAAATTAACGAGGAAACGAAGAGAGAATGACGCACACGTATACAAATGTAAACATCACATTTGTCATTTCGGCCTTAAGAAAGTAATATTGTAGGAAAAACGTTATAGGAGATGACGGCATATGACATCATGCTTACCATACAAATGTTGGCTAAAATGATCGGAAGTCTTCTTGCAGGGTTGTGAAGCCATGAAATGGATAACTCTATATATTTTCAACTGAAGTTTTATTTTATCACTTTCCGTTTTTTCGTTAGTAAACAAACTTTTTAGGTCATTAACAAGTGTCAAGTCTTATTTGTGATTTATATTTAGTAAAGTATAATTTATTTCTCCTTGGACTCTTATTTGTAATTAATAACTTTTCATGCTTTATATATCACTCGGTGAGTATTGTGTATACGTTAACGTAGATTATTTATGATTCATCTTCATCCGCATTAAATATAAATTTTTAAAGGTTTATGTTACTGCTAAACATAAATTTTAAAAATAAAAATAATTAGTTTCATCAATTTAAAATACTCTGTTATGAATTATTAATGATTAAGTGCTCGCATACCATCGTTCTTGATTCATCCCTCGCAATTATTCTTCATTCATTTCTCATTACTATCATTTAGTCTTTCTCCTTCTTTCTCCTCATCTTGCATAATTCATTAAAGAATTTAAATTGTTGTTGATATTAAAGTTTAATAATTGCTGAAATATTACAAACATTTATTCATAACTTCATCTTTAACCGGCTCTTTGTTGTTCATATGTTGTTATATCAATTCATCGTTATTTTTTCTTCTTTTCTCTTTGCTTTTTACTATTTAACTTCTTTCATCATAAAAGAGGGGATCGACAACTTATAGAACACGAGAAAAAAGAAAAAATATTTTTTTGTTTTTTTTTTGGCAATCTTTGCCTTTTTTATCTTCTCTACATGATCGTCATTGATCTTATCGCATTTCTTAAGCATCTTGATCCTCTTGTGCAAACAGTTTCAAATCCTTGCTTTTTAAGCTCATCAAATTCAGCATTAACCGCATTAATTATCTCCTCGTCCTCGACAATAACTTTTAATATTTTTTTTTAATTTTGGAAAAAACAAGAAATCACAATTTACTAAATCCGGGGAATATGTTGCTGGACGTATTTCTTCGATCCCAGAGATCGCAATAAAATTACTCATTATTTCAACAGTGTGGGATGCCTCGTTGTCATGATGTCAAACCTAGTGCCGCAAGTCTTCTTTCTTCCTGTTTTCCAAAAAATTTTTGAAAACTTTTGGTAAGCACTTTTCGGTGCGCCATTTCACAGTTACCTTCTGACCCCTTTCTAGTACGACAGCAAAAGGAATGATGTCAGTTTACTTCAACCGATCTATATTCCTTTTGTTGCTTAGATTTTACGGGTGGGTTTGCTCCTGTTGGGCTCCATATCATGGATTGCTCTATGGTCTCTGGATCGTACTTATAGAACCAACCAGTAATGACTTTATGAAAGTTGCCAGAGTGACTATTTTCTAATGTGTTTTTGAGAAATTGAGAAAAATGCTCTCGAGCCTTTTTGGGGCCTCATCTATAATTCGTGGTAACTATCGAGCAGATTTCTAAATGTTCTTAATAATTCTCTTCTTCTTATTATAGCCATGGCATTCAAGACCAATTCATTAGCAATCATTTCTTGAGTCAATTGTGGGTCTTAGTCAACTGTGGACTTCACCACAGCTACACTGACGCAGTGAAAAATTTTGGTCGACTGCTTGGGGATCGTCCTCAACGGAAAAATTTCCTCTCTGGAATCGTCGGAACCACTTAAAAATAGTCTTTAAAGACGTTGTAATCGTTCCATATGCAACTTGTCATTCACTGAATATTTGTATTGGCTGTAAATTACGCCCAAAACCCGAAGAGGAGAATAACATGGAGAATTTCTGTTTGAGTTGGGGATGGAATTTCGTCTGACTTATCCTCAGCAATGTTGCGTTTTCTCGTCTCCATAAAATTTAAGAGTAAGACTGATAAAGTAATAGCAAACGCTTTGGTATTTCTAGATTTAGCAAAAACAAATTGAAGCTCCCCAACAGACCTAGCTTTTGTTAATTCCTTGGTGCTACTCATTATGAATATATTTTAATTTACTTTTCACTCTTCTTTTTTTACATTATTCATTCCTTAAAATTACAGCACTTCACATTTTTATCGAATTGTTGTCTTACAATTCATTTTTTATGCAAGATACTTCTAGAAGTTCCATATTTATTAATTATAATTCCTTTGCTAATTTAATTGAGTTGCATGTATGTATATGAACATATCTACAGAACATATGATAACTAAATTAATTATAATCTAC